TAAGTATAATAATAATAATAATTATTATAATTAAAATAATAATAATAATAATAATAATAATTACAAATTAGAAATAATTATAATAATTATAATAACAATTATAAATTATACTAATAATTAAATCTTATAATAATAATAAGTTGAATAAATTGTAATTAATTATAAATTGTAAAAATAATATTAATAATATTAAATTATAAATGCTTATGAAAATAATAATTAAGAAATAATAATAATTTGTAATAATAATTATAATTAATTATAATAAAAATTATAAATTAGAATTAACTAATATTTTAATAAAAAATTCTAATAATAATTATAATTAATAATAATAATTTGTAATAATAATTATAATTAAAATTAATTATAATAATACTAATTATAAATTAGAATTAATTATAATTAATAGTAATAATTTGTAATAATAATTATAATTAATTATAATAATTATTATGAATCTCAACAATAATAATTATAATTATAATTAAAAATTATAATAATAAAATTTATAAATTTAAATATAAATGAATTATAATCAATTTTAATAATTATTACATATGGAAAAATTTAATAATTATATTTCTGATTCAGGGTGTTAGCAGAGCTGGACAATCTAATGCCAGGGACGACGACGAGACGTTCGATGACTATTATGATGGTTCTGGCACCCGACACACTAGAAGTCAGGGTGTCAATGCGTCCGTTCGTCGGGATAGACTGACGTTGATCGATGAGGCTCGAAGGGTACAGACTCTTCAGGCTAGGTAGAGTTCGAGACCCCCCGCACCAGTACGAGATGGTCTCCAGGGATATTATTTTGAGGGCCAGCCAGATAGTTCGCGACTCCACGAAGTCCTACCGTACGGTGAGCATGGATATTATTATCCTGGCCAGGCAGGCAGTTCGATGCCCCCGGCACCAGGACCGTACGATCAGTCGGGATATGCTTTTCCCCGCTACGCAGGGAAGTCGATACCCCCCACGCACGCGCACCATTACCTTATGGTAAGCAGGGGTATGTTGATGAGTCGTACGGCGAGAGGGAGCAGGGTCCAGAGGAGTGTGACTCGGACGACTCCTCAGATGATCAGGACCACGCACAGCCTACGGGTCCTAGCCACCCTCGTCCTCCTGTACAACCTGTTCGTCCGGTACAGCCGGTTCTACAGCATGTTCGTCTGGTACAGGCTGTTCGTCCTACACAGCCTGCTCCTCAACAACAGGCTGGGGGCGTTTTGGCCCCGTTGCATCCTCATCAGGTAAATAGTTTACATATTTTTTGTTGTTTAACATAAATTATTTTGACATAATCATAACAAATTATCGGTACTGTTAGAAAAGTATTATCGGTCTGCTCCTCAACTACGGTATAATTATTTTGTAATTTAGAGGAACCATACAATTAACTAGTTAGAAAATTATTATAATTATTTTATATTATTGTTATAATCAATTAGCTTGATATGTTACATAATAAATTAGTTTAAAATTGTCCTTATAGTTTATTAATGTAAAATGTAACGTTTGTACATTAATTGAAAAAAAAAGAGTGGGAAACTTATGAAATATATTTTATTAAATATATTTTATTTAATGCATCTGCCAGCAAGTCTATATATACAGATATGTTGTATTGTAATGCAGGTACTAGCAAATGAGCTAGGACCGATGATGATGCACCCTGGATCGTTAAAGGCCCAGTGGCCGGTGGGCCCATTGATGGGAGTGTCATCCCTAGCTTTCTAGGGCACGTCGCCTCCCGCATGTGGAATGAAGACTTTAGGGGGCTGCTGAAATGCCACAACAGACTGAGAGCGGTCGAGAATCTGAGGGCTTGGCGTGATGAGATGTCTTCCGATGCGATAGCTCTGATCGAAAACACCGGGCTGTAACATCTGGTCGACTCCATGCACATCCACTTGGACACTCCACTCCTTTCTGCATTTGTGGAGCGATGGCAGCCGGATACTAACTCGTTTCACCTGCCTTTTGGTGAAATGAGCATCATGTTGCACGACGTCCGGGCCATTTTGGGCGTTCCTGTGGAGGGAGTCGTGGTCGCTGAGGACCCGGATTCAGACGCCTCCCATGGGCTCTACATGTCAATACTTTCGGTCACCAAGGCCGAACTCATGAGTTCGTTCTAGCAGCGTGGTTCGGTGACCGAAGCTCCATTGTGGGAGCATTCAGGGAGAAAGGCCGACCGGCTAGGGATGAGGCGGGTGCCTGGATGTGGGTGATGCTGGCTACCACATTGTTCGTCGACAAGAGTGGTAGTAGAGTGACCCCCAAGCTCCTGCACGAGGTGCTCGACGGCTTAGATGTGATTGGGGCTTACTCATGGGGATCGGCTACGCTGGCAACATGTACAGACAACTAGGTATTGCCAGCCGAGGGGACTCCAGTGGACTGTTGGGCTGCGGGACTCTTCTGCAGTCCTGGATATATGAGTATTTCCCCGATTTCTGACCCCAGGGGCGTCTACCCATCGGTCCTGACTGTGTCGCATGATATAGCTCGTGGAGCGTAGGGAATGCGCCAAGGTCAGACGATCGGCTCACAGCCATCCGTCGGTGCCTCGATAGACTCACTGCATCCGATGTACGTTAAGTTATTTTATTTAAATTTAGTTACCCGTTATTTAAAATAATATAATTATTTTTATAAATGCTTTTATGCATTTGTGAACAAATGCAATGGTTGCCATACGGCAGCTCCACACCAGATGCGATAGAACCGAGGACTCTTTATTGCGGATTGATTCGATACCGCGATATTGTCGAGCCTTACTTGCCTGTGCGGGTTCTGCGTCAGTTGGGGTATGTCCAGACTGTCCCTCCCCCTACATACCCGCCAATCAGTGCAGTACGTGCTTTGGAGTCTAGGAACTACAGGGTTGAGCATTCTGAGGCTGCTGCAGTAGGTGCATGGACCTAGTTCCCGTTGTCTGGGACGGTCAACACCGGTATGTTGACCCCCACCACACATGATCGCGGGGAGGCGACTGAGGATTACTGGCAGTGGTACGGTCGGGTTTCCTATCCGACTGTCATGGGTGCTGACGGACGAGAACGAGGTCCCTACGCGTGTCAATACCGCCTATGTAAGTTGTTTACTAAATTTTAATTAATGTTATTTCATTACAATAATTTTTTTTTAATAAAGTTTAGTCATATCTTTTTATTCTTCCATTTTTTAGTGGGTGGTGTTGATGGATGGTTCCGATCAACGGATAAAGAAATGAGCAATGAAATATGAAATGGGAAAATAACGAGAAAATACGGGCTAATTACGATTTTATTAATAGATCACTGGGTCGGACTCTCTTACGAGGTCAGCACTCGTGATATCCTTACAATTCTTACAATGATTAGTTATAGATTTAGAGAGAGAAAGTAGAGTGAGAGCTATGGTAGTCCCTTCCTGTCTCGTCCCTCTCGCTTTAGCTCGAGCTACTCTCGTCCTGCTGCCTCCTTATCCTGTTGAGGATTCAACAACCCAGAAATAAATGAGGGGGCTCCTATTTATAGTGCTCTT